TAGGGAGGGCACAACTAAGACGCATTTGGACGGGTTGAGAACAACGCCAAATTGTTGAAGGCGGTCAAACACCGTTGCCAGATGCTCCATGTGTTCTTCGGCGGTGGAGCTGACTACCAAAAGGTCGTCCATATAGGCGTAGACAAACGGTAGGCCTCGAAGCACTCTGTCTACGAACCTTTCGAATGTCTACGAGGCGTTGCGAAGTCTAAACGACAAGTTCAGGAACTGAAAGAGGCCAAAGGGAGTGGTAACGGCCGTCTTCGAAACGTCCTCTGGGGCTATGGGTATTTGGTGGAAAGCACGGACCAGATGAATCTTCGAGAATACAGACTTGCCGAATAGGACACCGGCAAAATGCTGAAGATGTGGGACAGGGTAGCGGTCCCGAACAGTAAGGTTGTTCAGGGCCCTTTAATCACCGCAGGGGTGCCAGTCACCTGTGGCGGCATTTGGAACCATGTGGAAGGCTGAGGCCCATGGGCTTTCAGACTGACGAATGATGCCCATTTGAAGCATGTGCTCGAACTCGGACTTGGCGGCAGCAAGACGTGCAGGCGCGAGACGGCTGGGGGCGAAAAAACACGGGAGGGCCAATGGTCCGGATATGGTGAACTACGTCGTGTGGTGGAATAGAAACGTTGAAGTTGGGGCGAGTGAGGGCGGGGTACTTAGTGAGGAGTTGCCGAAATGGATTATCGGGTTCAGGGTCCAAGACGGAGAGTTGTCGGGAAGCGTCGGAGGAGGAGATACCCCGGACAGTGAGGTTGGTAGTCTGTTCGTGAAGACGTGACTGACGGCAGTTGACCAGAAGATCGAAAGCGGCCAGGAAATCTGCCCAGAGAAAGGCACATGGGATGTCAGCAACGACGAAGATCCTAGGGAAGAGACGCCGGAGACCGATGTCCAGAGAGAGGGAGCAGGCGCCAAATTTGATAATCGTCGATGTATGACGGTCTATAGGAGAAGACTGGGATTGGGACCTCGGCTGCTTATTCGTCAGACTCGGGTCTGCTTATTTCGCAGCTAATCTTCACTGAGGGCCGTTCAACTATCCGCCAATTGTGGACACGCCGGGTAGCCATCAGCTAGGCTAACACGCTACCAGTCTTCGAGGGTGAGATAACAGATGAATGTGTCCTTACGTGGGCATAGCCTTTGACACGTTCTCTTAATCAGCCGTATAGTGAGCAGGAGTGATGCTGAAGGGGGACTAATAAAGTCATTGGAGTCGGCATTGGCCACCTCAGGTTCATTGGCCGTCGTCATCCTGCGTGTAAGCCCCCCTCCCCACATCATCTTCATCATGCCATTAACCATCCGTAGATCCCATGACTGCTACTGTTGTTGTCGTTGTCTGCGAATCAAGTACACCGACTCCATGTGCGTCTTTATCTAGTCTGCGAAGAACATGACGTCACTAGGCGGGATGTGATTATCCAGTCAGTTGCAATTAACCCAGTCAATTGTCTGGGAGTTGACAGACGGTCCACATTGGAACCGTGATTTGCGCTTAAAATGCCACGCTCTCCTCCATCCTCACCGACATGAGATCGGTGAGATGACTATGTCATAACGAGAGAAGGCGTTGCAGGGTTCAAAGACTGACAATGCTAAATATGTCGTCAATGTGTGCTACGCACAGACACGCGTGATATTCTAAGGAGGGGCCAGTCCAACAGGGAAAACAGAGAGCGGTGCCTCGAATGTCAACTGAGTGGGCTTACCACGCAAAGAAGAAGAAGCGGTTGCCGTCTGTCTCTTCGTCCAGATCGGAGGACCGACTTTTCCCATCACATGTGATTCTTCCAAGCCACGTTATTTAGCTTGCTTTAACGTCTGGAATATGTCTGGAATATGCAGTGAGTGCCGTGATGTCGGAATCACCACAATGGAATTCACTCTCCATTTACTCTTCCGGGAATCAGACAACACTCTGGACCGATGGGGCATTTGATGTGGATATGGGGCAAGCATGCTGAACAATGCTGAAACAGATCGTCTCCATGTGCCACACATGACCCATACCACCACCACCAACACCACCACCACCACCACCACCACCATATCACACCAGGTCTTCACGCAAACGAACTGGGCCACTGGGACTACACAGTCGTAGGAATCGGTATTGAGGAATTCCTGTTTTAGCATGTCAAAGCAATGACTCAGATGCCTGAAGCTAAGAGAGCCGTCAAATCAGCTCAGTTCAACATGGCTTCTCTGAAAGATCATCCTGACTCACAAACCTGCTTACGTCGCTCGGAAATCGGTCAAAAGCGATGGAGGAAGGACATCCAGTGGATGTCATGTTCTTTGATTTCAACAAGTGCTTGATTACGTTCCACATAAGCGCCTCCTTCAAAAGTTGTATAGCGTATAGTCAAGAAGAAATCTCCACAGTGGGATTCGACATCTTTCAAACCGTCGTAGATAAAAGTTAATCTTGGTGGCTACTGTTCAGAATGGGCGTCTCATAAAAGTGTAATGTAACATGGGTCAATTCTGGGGTCGCTCATATTCTCTGTCCATCTAAATCATCTAGTACGGCAAGGAAAATTGGACATAGCGTCCTTTGCAGATGATCTTAAACTGTAGACGGTGATAAAAGATGAAAAATACGGCAAAGATGCCACTCGGATGTGCCTCACTCATAGTCGGATATTTAAAGTAGTGATTAAGATGTGCAGACAATCTACAGCCAAACTACGGATAATCACATTGGACTGCATTCTTTCCTATTGTCCGAAATTATGCTTTGTGTAAACGTCTTTTTCTCATTCCGTTCCACATTCAAAAGATCGCCATTCTGAATAGCTACCTCGAACGCGTGCCTTTCTATGTTCCAATTTCCTCCGAATTCATTCTGTCCACCAGTCGTACTACTGAATATATACTGATTAGTTGCGTTCATCAGATGTTATGCCCGGTCATGGCGTTGATTTCTCTCGCCCTGCCTTTAGGTCTATAATCAGTCGTCGGCAGAGACCAAATGTCTTCCGGGGGTAAGGGAGCAGTCCATGGGATATTGCGTTGAGACTAAATTTATCCTTCCTCCAGCAAAGTAAATTCTATAAACCCAACCGAAATACCCTGTCGAATTTCACTATTTACCTCTCTCAACTCATCAATTCCTTGCCCTGCGGCCGAGCACAGTATTATTTGTGGCTCTAATCCTCGTAAGCTGCAGACGCATGATATATCATTTCTACTGTGGACTGCCTTTCAGTCAACTGAATTGCCTCTTGAATAAATAAGGAGGATATTATGCTTCGTATATTTTCTTTATGTATCCGACGACACAGGGGGACCGTATTTTGGGGTGGTCAAATTGATTGCTGACCCAGCAATTGGAGAGACTGCTCACCGCAGCTGTTATGAACTGGTTCCGATGCACAATGCTTAGTACATTAATTCGTTCACAACGACAATGTCAATTGGTCGGATTCACTGTGATGATGTTGGGTTAATTTAAACCTAACTTCGGACGTTGTCTACATACCTCATCACAGCCCAACCTAAACTAACACTGAACAATGGGTCCCACATAACTTTGCATAATATCCCATTATCATGGTCAAATTCCCGCCTTCCTGGGATTTTTCAAGACACTTTGCTTTGCCTGTGAGGGTATCAGGCAATTCAAATGTCCTGAATCGATTTTGTGCCAGACTACATGTCGATCGATGTTGGGGCGTTTGAACGTGGCCAAACGACTTGCGCGTCAGAATTCAGAGACTGACAATGGCGAACGCTACCCCGACTACTTCGGTGAACTGCTCAAGGCGCCGGGCGCAAAAAGTGACACAATTATTTGGACGGCTCGCCAGATGGGCCAAGAAGCACTCATCTGTGCTGTCTTCCAGTGGTAAGTGCTGTATCATTTCATCGTTGTCGGATCACTAAATGTACGATGGTCTGGAATTTGATTTTGGTTAAGATAATGTCTTGTGTTGGATTGTTCCCAGGCTCCCGTCTTTCAGTCTCAACACTATAGTAAAATAGAGGTAGGATGGAAACTGGTCCAGGAGACACTAGTAGTGTTTTCTTGATTGCCTAGCCTGAGCTTATACTACGTGTCCCAGACACTATGGACGCTCTCATACACCAACAATGTTTCTGCCTACTCGATTAGCCACACGATGCAGGCCATATACACCAGGTTGCAAGTTGCGACTGTGTTGATTCCACAGAGTCGTTAGAACGACATGCATTTATGCCAATGTCCGAATATTCTCAGTCCATTTTCACGTTAGTTGTAGCCTTCAATATTACTTCTTGGCTAGGCATGTTAAAGTTGGCAAATGTGAGGCAACCAGAAATGCCTTATGGCACGTCTACATTACCAGCAATCAGGCTATTTATTTCCCTCCTTCCAGGCTGCCCGCAATCTGACTTCCCGGGGGCCGCATTCGGCGGCCGTTTG